GCAAAATATTTTTTAATTAAGTTTTATTATTATAATTATACCATTTTTACAATTGAGGTATTCTTAAACGACCTACGTATAGAATAAAGGAGGTTAAAATTTAAAAAAATAATAATAAATTTTTTTTTTAATTTAAATTTTTTTTTTTACTATTAAATTATTGCATTAATATTTGTTCGTTAATAAAACCAATATAATGTACCAAAAATGTTATTATATCACTATAACTACAACATTTATGGGCACTGAATGGTGTGGTAGAGGCCTGTAGGCACCCACGCCAGTACCGCTTTTCTGCCGCATAAGTGCATTTTTTACGGAACTACTCAAACATTTGTAAAAAATAATTAGCGTTTCAGAAAGAGAAATATATTCTCCAGATGGTTTTTTCAGCACGTTTTGCGTTATTGTAGGCCGTTTAATTACAAACGACGTTTGATTTGTAACTTGAAAATTTTTTTGTTAAAAAAATTGACTTTACTGGTGTTTTTCATAGCCTTAGCCAATTATTTTTTAATATTTCTTCATGTTTTATTATTCTATAACTATTCAGCTTTAATAAAAGACCAACTATGAGGAAATTAAGCTTAATGATGATTCTCAGTGACCAAAAAACTAACTAAAGTCAAAGTCGTCAATCCGCCATCTTTGGACGCCATTTTGGGGCAGTGCGTTCACTTTTTTTTGTGGGAACATTGGCTTTTTTTTAATAAATTGTTACAAGGAACACAACAATGTGCAATTTATAGGGATGTGGGGGGGGGGTGCACGGTAAGGGGGTCTGGCCCACCGTGTATAATCCATGGATCTAGACCGATTTCTCACCGTCCTTGAACCCGAGTGATTCGGTGGTAAGGGCACTGCTGATTGACCCCAAAGGTATCGGCTGTTGATCTATGGGTGGCCTTGCCTGTGTCATAGAGAACACCAATGTCCGTAGCACCGTGATGGCTATCTTGTGTTTAAGTAATATTCGTCTATATTACGTAAAAAGTAATATATATATATATATATATATATATATATATATATATATATATATATATATTTACTATTTTTTTTAAATCTAATCTAGAATTTTATAGCCTAAACAAAGTCCCCCCCTTCATCTATACAAAGAGATTCGCTAAACAAAAAAGTACATCTTGTTAATAGTACATAAAATGTCTTTTAAAAGGTTTGTCATAACGTTGTATTCTTAATTGTTCTCTTTTTTAGTGTTAATTCACTAAATACTTGAGGGATCTTTACAGGATTAATGTACATTTTATGGTGCAGGGAATGATTACTATTCTTGTATTATATAAATCATTAAATGCTACACAACTTCAGTTGAACCTCAACAGTAATGGGATACAGAGAAATTCTTCCTTGGTAGTATACAGACCTTCTTAGATCTTTTAATATTTTCATTACGAAACAGAAATTGGTTATAATCACTATATTTTCAATCAAACTTTATACCACTAAATCCACTATCCTCCCATTTTTCCAGTTTCCTTAAAAGGAGGATTTTGAATTAACAATAAAACCCTTCTATCCGGAATAGCATGGTTAGCACTATTCCAAATCATTTTTTGAATATTTATTTAGAGAATAACAATTTTTATGATAATATTTATAGTATTAGTATAATATTTATAATATACTATTTATAATGTTAATTATTATTACTTATTAATGTCACTGATTTAGCCCGAGCCAGATATCTATCCTTTCATGATAAACTCCAGTCCCATCTGAATCCGCTTGTTTCTAGCCTTGCTTCTTCCTCGATTCCTGATAATCCTCCTGGGCGTCTGAAAAGGAGATGGCCTCGTGATCTTTTTACCTAGAATTATTTAGGGAGAGCTACCACTGGGTAGTATCTCTTCAAGACTGTTCATGTCATTATTTCTATTTGTGCATATTTACTGGTTGCATTTATATACAGTTGTAAATTTCATTAAGTAAAAAAAAAAAAATTAGTTATTGAAAAACTATTTATAGAATTGTTTTTCATTTACTTATCTTTAGATTATTCTATTTTTTATTGTACATAGTTTTTTTGTTTTTTTTTGACTGACCACCCCAACTATTCTTCTTCATTATCCACGACAGTCAACCATTTACCAATTATGTACATAGTTTTTTATTATTATTTTACTTTTGTTAATTTTATATTTTCTGTATATATGGTGTGAATGTGTTCATATATCACTATAATTATTGTCCACATGACAGATTATAATATTTCTAAATAAATAAATAAAAAATAGAATATTAATACAATCTGCCACATCCAAGGGCAATAAGTATTAGTGCTCAAGTTATTATTTCATAAAATATATTCATATAAAAAAGTATATAAATAATTAGGAAAGTGAAAAAAAAGTAATAAAAAAAGGAAAATAAATAAAAAAAATGTGTAACATAAGTAGTAAGTAATTAAGAAGTATAATGATCGAAGTATTGTAAAATCAAAAATGAACTTCACAAATATAAGTTCATATCTAAATAAGGTAATGACAGCAAAACTAGTAGTTAATAAAAAGTTTATTAAAGTGGAATATAAAAATTTAAAAAAATAAAACTTCATCAAAAATGTATTCACACTTTTTCCAAATTACTAGAAATTATGAATAAGAGATGGCTTATGTGATTACGAAATAAAAATAAATCTTGTTTTCAATTAAATTTATTATAGTAATATACAAGAATAAAACTATATTTCTATATATACATATATATGTACAGATATTATACATGTTGGTAAATAATAATAACAATGTAATTATATCAATTTTTAACATATGATTTACATGCGATATTTAATCAGAAATCTTTGTTCAGTACTTGTTTTCAATTATTTTTCTAAGTAGGCTCCATTTAACTGTAAAGCAGGTGTTGCCTCATCACACTGTTCTGCGAACTTCTATGCAATCTGAAATATCCATACGTTAATAATAAGAATTCGATTAGCAATAAGTTTTTTAATCTTTAATATGGTGTATTAATAATTAATACACAAGGTGTAATAAGTAATTAATAAGATGTATAAAGAGAGAGAAGTAAGAGAAAGGGAAATTAAATGTTAACAAAAAAAACATGAACAATGAAAGGGAAAAAAAAAAAATATATATATATATATATATATATATATTTATTATACTCATATAAACTAGCCACTTCTGTATATTCATATATAAGTTCATTTATTGTCCTACGGATTAACGAGTATGCTGTGTATATAGCAACCCAATATAATTGGGCAGCAATCTTTTATATTTTATATGAAAATAAAGTGTTTCTCTCTCAGAAAAAAATAGATAAAAAAAAAGTTCCAGATTATCAGGTATGTGGTAGATATATAGTTACACATGGTGTCCCGTAAGAAGAGGAAAATTTTTAGAGGAATGATAGCAGACCTACAAAAAGTTCATGTAAACAATTGGCAAATTTCCATCAGAAAAGTAGGTGTTTTTTCAAGTTAGTCGTATTTCTTGTTGAATCGAAAGCAATAAATAATGAAATATTTAGTTTAAGTAATTATATAGCTTCATTGCAAACAAGATAACATTTTCCTTAAATTAACATTGAGTTTATCATTGTCAAAACTATTTACAGAGAAATTTTGAACGGCTAAACTAAGCTAAGTTCTGTTTTTAGAAAAATCATAAATTATTCGCATTTTTTTTTTGTTTATCATCATCCATCTATACTACTGTTACCCCAATTTTACAAAGACTTCTCCATTTAATAATTTTTATGTTTGTATTAATTAACTTGGGATTTACTAGTGAAAATTTTGAGATTCAGCACAATTTTTGCAAAAAAATTACATTTTTTATCCTGTTAAGTAAAAGTACCTCTGTTTTCAGTAAAAATTACTACAATTAATTTTTGCTAAGCTTTTATTTCTTGTTATTCCATAATCTGGGATGTATTATAAGAAACCCTATCGCCTAAACACACATTTTATTCATAATTGTGATTTTTCAGATAAATTGGTTATAAATTGTGTTTTGTCACTCAGATCTATATTGTAGGAATTGATCTGTATTTGTGAGAGATATAATAAAACTTTCTTGTCCTAAAATTTAGGCTTAAAATGAAAAAAACCTGCTGATTGCTTCAATTATTTTAATGAAAACTTTAATATTAGGATCAGGAACATTCATTGTGTCACTTATAAATACAGAACAATTCATATAATACAGCTATGAGTGAAAATTACAGTTTATAACCGATTTATCGGAAAATATTGGATAAATCAGTATTTTTCAAATTAATTTTTTTTATGAATAAAATGGGTTTTAGGCAGTTAGGTTTATTAAAATATATCCCAGATCATGGAAAAACAAGAAATTAAAGCTTAGCAACTATGAATTGTAGGCATTTTTTATGAAAACAGGGGTAATTTTACTTGATAGGATAAAAAATATCATTTTTTTTTATACAAAATTTGAGCTAATCTTCAAAATTTTTTATAATAAACCTCAATTTAATTAATACAAACTTATAACTTATTAAATGATAAAAAAAAATTGTGAATATTTTTTTTTAAATTTAATTTAAGTAGTTCTAAAAGCAGAGCTTAGCTTAGTTTAGCCGCTCAAAGGTTCTCTGTAAATGGTTTTAATAATGATAAACTTAATGTTTGGTAAAAGAAAATTTTATCTTGTTTGCAATGAAGCTATAATTAATTACTTAAATTAAAAATTTAATTAGTTATTGCTTTTGATTCAATAAGAAATACGACTCACTTAAAAAAACAAAACTTGAATTTTCTACTTTTCTGCTGAAAATTGGCCCATTATTTATATAAACATTTTTGTATACCTTGAGGTCTGCTATCACTACAAAAAAATGTCCTTCAACTTACGGGACACCCTGCATAGCGGATGTTCCCTAAGTTGAGAAAAATTTTTATAGGAGTGAGTGATAGCAATCTTATAATTAGTTGTTATGCTATACAACAGTATAAAACAAAAGATCTTACCTTCATTGCTTGCTTTCATTTAAATAAAAAAAGAATTTTCTTTCCTTTTTCCCTTCAAAGCATATAGCACCTCATCAACAATCTGGTTTTCATGTTCTCGCTGAGATGCCGACATCAAGTTAGTATAAGAGGTGGTAGGATTGTCACCAGTAGTTGCGGGTGCACTATCTTCTGAAGCAGTCATTGCATTATCAAAATAAGATGAGGTTGCATTGTCATCTGAAGCATTTGTTACATCTTCTTGATAAAAAGTATTTACACTTTCATAATAAGAAGTTGTACTACTACGATCAGAAGTCGTGGCACTGCTGTTATAAGAAGTGATTTCAGTTTCATCTACAGCAGCTGTTGCATTGTCACGATAATGAGTGATTATGCTGTCGTCTGAAGAATTTGTAGTCCCCTCATGATAAAAAGTGTTTACACTTTCATAATATGAAGTAGCAGCACTATCATAATGAGAAGTGCTTTCAACATCATGATAAAAAATGGGTGCACTGAAATAAAAAGGAGTTGGTGTACTCCCATAAAAAGAATTGGTCACACCTTCATGATAAGAAGTAGGTGTGCTGTCATAATAAGGAGGGAGTGCACTGTAATCTGAAGCAGCTGTTGGCATGTTATAATAAGAAATATTTACGCTGTCATCTGAAGCATTTATTGCACTATCATCTGAAACAGTTCTTGCACTGTCATGATACGATATTGGTTCACTGTCATATGAAGCAGATGTTGCATTAACATTATAAGAACTGGTAGCGCTTTCATGGTAAAAAGTGTTTACACTATCATTATTAGAAGTGATTAAATGATCGTAATAAGAAGTGGTGGCACTGACCTCACAAGTAGAGGATACATTTGCTTTTTGTGATTTTTCTTCTCCTTTAATTTCGTTTTTTTTTAAAATGTTAATTTCAGTATCAGTTGCAGTAGTTCCAGAACTGGTTATTTTGTTTTCGCTATTGCTGTCTTGCGGGTATTTCATAATATCCTTGACAATGATTACCAGCTCCTTACATTTAAATTTTTTAAACAGCTGCATTTCCTTTCTGGTCAACTTATTTTTTTTACTTTTTTTATTATTAATCTTTCTTCGTGGCATACTGAAAAAAAAAAAAAAACAGTAATTAAAATCACTTTTAAGCTATACATTGTTTTATAACAAATTATTATTATGTAATTTTTTAACTGGCCCGGTGTGCAAACAGGGACAATGGAGAATTCACAATAATAAAGAACTATATGAAAAGTATGCGAGGCCGGATTTGGTCTCAATTGCGAGGGGAAACCAGATCAGATGGTTGGGCTGTGTGGCGCGTTTGCCTAGAGACGCGATTCCCAAACGCTTGCTAGAGGATCGGCCTGCTTTAAAACATGGAAGAGGAAGACCACGCCTGAGATGGCTGGACCAGGTAGAGGACAGCCTGAAAAGGATGGGAATTCGGAGATGGAGAATGCTCGCTCGGGATAGGGGAGAGTGGCGAAGGATAATAAGAGAGGCCCAGGTTCTTACAGGACCGTAGCGGCAAGAATAAATAAATAAAAAATTTTTTAGGCAATAAAATAAATAAGTTTTCATGGCGGATCCGCATAATCGCAACTTCACTGTAAAAAAATACCATATTTAATTATTTTAAATTATTTTTCGTCATGGTAATAAACGTTTTCACCACAACGTTCTACTAAAGGAAGTGCTTGATCGTACACCATAGTCAGAAAATGAAAACGTCTTTAGTGTTAATACCATCATGATTCTTATAAACAAAAACAAAATCTACTGATTCTTTTAAGTTTTTCTTTTAACTTTTCTTTTAGTGCAATCAGCTGTAAGGAATCCGGTATTGAAAAAATTTCTATTCACCAAAAATGTTATACATGATTTATGACTTATGTTCTGATTTTAAATATATCTCTTTTCTTCAGTTAAAGTGAAATCAGAGTTCTCAACAAATCTTTGACGATGTTGCTTAGTAGATTTAAAACATAAAATCCTATAGAATCGCCAATGCACTAAAATTGATCTTGTTTTCCATATTTGGTGTAAAATACATCATTTTTTAGTAATTTTGCTGTAATATAGATCTTTTTTATCGGGAACACCTAATAGTCTGTGGGCCAGACCCCCCTACCATGAACCTTCCCCCTCCCTCCATATCCCTCATGTAGTTGTGTTCCTTGTAACTATGTAATAAAGGCCAATGTTTCAACAAAAAAAAAAAAATGTGAACGCATTGTCCCAAAACGGAATCCAAATATGGCTGACTGGTGACATTGACTTAAGTTAGTTTTTTGGTCACTCAGAATGAGCATTTTTCTCAAGTTCTTCACGGTTGGCTTATTATTAGAGCTAAATAGTCAGAGAATAATAAAACATAAAACAATATTAAAAAATTAGTAGTTTAAGCTATTAAAAAAAACCAAACAGTAATGTCTATTTTTTCAACAAAAAAATGTTTGAAGTTGAAAATCAAGCATCGTTTGTAATTAAACGGAAAGGGTTCCGAAATAAAACACCTGGAGAATATATTTCTAAAACGCTGATAACTTTCTAAAATATTTGAAACAGTTTTGTAGAAAATGCACTTAATCGGCGGAAAAGCGAGACTGGCGTAGGTGCCAGGTGTCTGCCACATCATTCAGTCATAAATGGCATTTGTTTAAGTGCATTGCCAGTTTTTTCTCATTTTACTAAATAGTAATAATTAGTTCCGGTTACCAAGAAGAACATACTATATTAGTTTTTCAAAAACTAGTATATATATATATATATATATATATATATATATATTACTTTTTATAGACGAATATTACTTAAACACACGATAGCCCGGAGGGCTCACCAAGCCTCACGATGCTACGGACATGGTGGTCTTGTGGACATAACATAACACAGGCCACCTTTCTCGTTCGCTCAATGTATTTTTCCAATTTTTGGGTTCAATTTCGCGATTTCTCTAGTTTTGACCAAATACGAAAAATCAGTTCCGGTCACCAAAACGTACATACGGCTTCGCCCTTTCCACCTTTCTTTGTGCAGAGATAATAAAGCATTCAATATTGAAATTTCAATTTTTTTTATGATATGGCAACCTCCATACAAAATAAAGGAAATAAACAAATGAAATAAATTTTTTTATTAGTGATATATGAGTTTTATTAAACAATCCGGTATATATTCATTATATTTAGTTCAGATTAAGTAAATAATTTAGTTTATAAAACGGGAATCAATACGACTCATTTCTGGGAAAGTATATACAATTTAACTTACCTCTAAGAATCAGTAAATTTACAAAACAAAGTTTTAAATTACAAAAATTTACTAAATGTATTTTATTTCTTAATACAGTTGTAAATATCATAAATGAGTTTAAAAAAAAAAAACTGCAAACGTTAAATAAAAATTTCGATATATTCAGCGAAGTATTTTTGAATTATATTTTGTTGTTATAATTGCATCATTTATACAATGAGACCTTCTTAAACGATCTCAGTATAGAATAAATGAAGTAATATTGCAAAAAAAAAGTTTAATTTATTTGGACAATTAAATTATTGCATTGATATTTTTACGTTAATACAATCAATATAATGTACCATAAACGTTATTATAGCACTGCAACTGCCATTTATGAGTACTGAATGATGAGGCAGTAGTATGATGTGAGGCCTGTAGGCACCCACGCCAGTACCGATTTTCCGCCGATTAAGTGCATTTTCCACAAAACCGCTTCAAATATTTTAGAAGTTTATGAGTGTTTTAGAAAATGGTATATATTCTCCAGATGTTTTATTTCGTGACTTTTCACGTTATTGTCTACCGTTTAATTACAAACGACACTTGATTTTCAACTTGAAAAAAATGTTTTGCTGACAAAATTGATTATACTATTTTTTTTATTGTCTAAGCTAATTATTTTTTAATATTGATTCATGTTTTATTATTCTCTGACTAAGCTTTAATAATAAGACAATTATGGCGAAATTAAGCCAAATGCTCATTCTCAGTGACCAAAAAACTAACCCAAGTCAAAGTCGTCAGTCCGCCATCTTTGGATGCCATTTTTGGGAGGTTCACTTTTTTTTGTGAGAACATTGGCCTTTTTTTTAATACGTATTTACGAGGAACACAAAGATATGCAATTTATAGGGTGTGGGGAGAGGGGGGAGGGTTCACGGTAGAGGGGTCTGACATACCGCGTTTAACTAGTAGCGGGACTAGGATTTGATTTTTCTTTTTTTTTTTTATTTATAATTGTCATTACTAGAGGTGCACACAAGTTGATTTCATGGTGCAAGTTCCGCCATCAAAATTTTTGACACATTTTGAATTTTTTAGGGGCAAATTTCGACGGGTTTATGAATTTTCGGATTGAAAATTTTCAAACCAGAGGACAAGCAGAAGAGCATAGTAAAGATCTCTGAAAGTATTATTGTATATTACCTATGATTTTTAAAATTATACTTTAGCTTACACTGTTTTAAGAAGAGAAGAGGAATAAAATCTTAGTAGAAGAGGGATTATTTGGTTTAGATATATGCCGCTAATATTGACCGAGAGCGAATCCCCCATCATATTATAAGCAAAATACCCATTTTCGCAACATAATTTTATTCCCTCAAGGAATATTGTCTTATTTTTAATTGGTGTACGAGGTTCTATTTCCGACCATTCTTTTTCTAATATTTTATATACTTCTTTTAGCGAAACGTTTGTAAAAAGAGACTCCACGTCATAAATTAATATTTCTTCATCCTCATCGATTTTATTTAATATTTAATACTATTTTTAACTTGTATAGATTTTTTGGTATCGTAAGGATTATTATTGCTTAATTTGTTTAATGAGAGATTTAAAATTTTGAATAATTTTTCGGTGATGCCGTTTATATTGTTTATAATAGGTCTTAAGGGTTTATTATTTTTATGTAGTTTACTGAATCCGTGTATCCTGGGATAGCTAAAAGAATTATATAAAATATTAGAAAAAGAATTGTCGGAAATAGAACCTCATACACCAATTAAAAATAAGGCAATATTCCTAGAAGGAATAAGATTATGTTGCGAAAATGGGTATTTTGCATATAATAATACTTTTTATTTAATGAAAAACGGTTTACCGATGGAGGATTCGCTCTCGGTCAATCATAGCGGCATATATCTAAACCACATAATGGACCAAACTTAATATAACTCCAGAACTCCGTCAATAACCTCGAAAAACAAATCTCAAAAGTTACCTACTGCCATACAATTTGAAAATCAGTTTGAGCAATGTAACACTAAATATCATTCAATAACTTTATATTAAAGATTTAACTAATAAAATTCAAAGGACTTTCGGGAAATATGATCTATCGGAAATTAAATTAGAAAAAAAAAACAGTAAATAAAATTGAAAAAAAATTATACTAATACTAAAGATAATATACCACGTGACATGAAAAGTAACGTTATTTATAAAATAAATTGCACTAATAAATCATATATAGGACAAACGCGGTACAATGGTTCGCAAAAAGAATAAAGCAACATGAACAAAATTGTAAATCCAATCAAACACATCAACCGGCCATTCACGACACGCAACATACAATAAAAAACAATTTGATTTAAAAAATGCCAAAATAATATATAAGGGAAATTGTAATAACAAAAGTAAAATTATAGAGTCAAAATATATCACTAAAAATGTGAAGAGTATCTTTAACAACCATACAGATGTAGACAATATAATAACCTTTTACGCAAATATAATTAACAATATTCGCATATAATATAATAATTAAATTAAAAAACAAAATAAAAATCATAAATTAGATAAAATAATTCACCATTGCAAAACAATAGAAGAAAAACTCCTCTTCCCTTGACTATCCCCACCAGGACGATATAAGTCAGTCCCTCCAGAAACTCTTAAATATCAGAACAACTTAATTTTCTCTGAAAAATTAATACGGCACTTAATGACGGATATTTAATGGA